CCGCCGCCCGAGCCGCCGCCGCCGCCGCTCACCTCCCGGCGGCCGCCAACAGCCCGCGCCGCCGCTGCGAGGCGGCTCCGAGGGGCCGGTCCTCCATCACCACACTAATAAGCGCCGCGCACGGAAACCCCACCCGCCCCCGCCGCCCGCCCTCCGCGCCCCGCCCCGCTGCACCGCGCCGGACACAGCCGGGGGCCTGCGGGGAGGGGGTGCCGCCGGCACCTTCCCGCCCCGGGGGTGTGCCTGGGGGGACGGGGAGGCGGCGGCACCGCCCCCGAGGCGGGGGCCCGACGGCAACTCTCGCAGGCCCGACGGCGGGTATGGCCGTGGGTGTCAGGGGGCCGCTGGACGCGCCTCCGGCTCTCCTGCAACCTCCCGGCGCCTTCTCTCCATCGCTTCCCCCCGGGGCCTGGGCTGACTCCGACGTGCGCCCGCCGGTGCTGCGGGCAGCGGTCCCGGGAGCTCTCGGCCCTGTGCCGCCGCCGCCTCGCCGGGCGGTCCAGAGCCCGGCCAGCCGGCGGAGGTCGGAGACTACCGGCTGAGCCCCTGTCCGGTGCGAGCTGCAGAGACCCTCTGTCCCCGAGCCGGGGCCGCCTGGAACAGCCGCCCCCTGCCCGGCCACCCTGCGCCTCCCTGCGCACCCGGAGCCGGTGGCTGCCGCCGTCTCACCCGGGAGCTGCTCGGGGCTCGCCGCCAACACCGGGCGCGGCTCCGCCCGCGACGGCGCAGCCGGGCCAGGGCAGGGCACGGGGGTGCCCGGGGGGACTTGGGCTAATCGGGAACGCGGTTAGGCAGGGCTGGGCTGAGCCCTGCCCCTCCTCGGGGGTGTGTGAGACCACGGAAGCTTCACTGGAAAGCAGGAGAGCAATAATCTTCCTGCGTGCGAGCGTGTCTAACGCTGAGACAAACACCAGGGAAATAATGCCCAAGTGCGGTGGTGTTGCGTTTCTGTCCGCATTTTGCCGGGCCAGTGTGGCAGCTGGAAGCCCTGCGGAGGAAGGGGCCTCACTCGGTGCAGAGGCTTTGGTGTTAAGAAGGTACTTGTACCATAAAGCAGCATATCATTATTCCTGTAGCAGAAATGACATGTGGGCTGATCCAAGGAGGATCTCTGCAGAAGGCTGTATGAAATAACTGGATCTTTCAGCCGAGCAATTCCTGAGTAGATGTGGAGTTCGGGCACCTTCATTTGCTTGCGTAGCCGGGCTTTCACAGCTGAAAGGGAGATGATTTATCTGTCAGTTGTTGTATCTTGCTCTGTTGCAAGAAAACCATCTAGATGGCCAGAAAGACTTTAAGATGGATCTCTGCGTGGAGTGGCATACAGATCCGATGATGCTTGCACAGAAGTGGAACCTTAAGACACAGTTAAAATAATAATATCTCTAGACATCCATACTGTCATTGCTATCGTTATTTGTTACTCCTTTATTATACCTGCTATAAAACTATGGAAATACACCACTGAAAATCGGGATAAAGCTCTTGACCTGGGACTTGAATAAGCTATTATCCTAAATGCTTCAAAAGCTAAATTCAAGGTATAGAAGAAAGGTATCAGAAGGAATAGAAGAGTCTTATTGGAAGGGTCCCGAGCTGAAAGCCATGACTGCTGCACTTAGCTGCATGGTTCAAGGTATTTGTCACCTGTGAGGTTGATTTAGTTGGGAAAAAACCCAAACCAAACATCACAAAGGCCATCCTTATCTGATTCCTCAAGCAGACCCTGGGGTCTGCCTGAGAACATATTTCTGTATAGGACTGTGAGCAAGGAGGAGCAGCTACCCAGATGATAATGGAACTGCTGAAGGATGCATCTCCTGTTTGGGATGGCTATCACGTTTGCAGTAAGTGGTAATGGGTTGGGGGCAGATATGACTTTGGATCATTGCTGTGCTGCAGTCAGGAGTATTGGAATCTTGGCTCTCGCTTGATGAGGCACTTTATTTGATTAAAGTTTCCCTTTTAATCAGAGATATGGTCATTTCCCGTCTCTAAAATGGAATCTGGCTCTGGGGGTCATGTCTGGATAATAAAAGGACTGGTTCTCTTGTCTCAGGGGAGTTGATATCGAATTTATTACCATCAAGAGAAAGCAGAATTATACTTGTAAAATGTTGCATAATAAATTTAGCCTCCTTAGTAAATCAAATCAGCGGATACCCTTATCTTCAAGAGATGCGTCATTGCTACGTGAGCTTCTTTGACTAGGTAGAACTAATGGGGAGAAAATGTACCTTCAAACGTGGTCCAAGTTGAGGGACTCACAGTAAATTAAAGTAAGAAAAAAAGTCTCCCTGGTATTTGGCTTAGAAATTTATAATTATATTTGGGAAGGGACTTCAAGGTGAGATGAGATGACTTTTAAAATTTTGTGCTTTTATCCCAAAACCCAGAGAGATGTGACAATTATTTAGTTTGAGAGTAGGAATGCGGAGGAGGTGATGTACTTCATTTGTCCTCCAGTGCAGAACATTCGGTTTCAAAAAGCCACCGTTAATGTCAAGGAGATAGAGAAGATTTTAGGCCTATGTAAAGAGCAGAGTTGGCTGCACCAGGACTTCTTATCATTGTCTTTATTCTAGAGGCTGTAGATGAAGGAAAAGGAGCTCGTGATGACTGTTGAGCAATAAGGAGGAATTTATTATTGAGTCCAAAAGAAGTCCAGGGCCCAGGAAAGGAAATTATACTTAGGATCTTCAAGGTTTCAGAAAAAGTCCCCCTGAAAATATATAACCTATGTGAGCATGTAAACCTACATGTCTGATGAAGATATGAGTTTAAATTGAACGCGAGGGGAAAATGAGGGTTAAGTATGACCAGTTGATCACAATTCTAATACTCAGTTTAAAAAGGAAGACCTACCTGCATTGGGAGTTTTGAAAAATGAGAAGGATTTCTCTCCAAACATCAAAATAAATATCTGAGTAGTTAAACAGATAACTTGTGTACAGCCTGCTCTTGCTTGTCCTGCTACCTGCTGAATTGATAGTCCTTGAGCTCTGGAATGACAGTTGTTTTTGATGCTGTATCAGGGTGATTTTACAAAGAGGGAGAGAAGCAACAACTGCTGTGATGCACTCGACTGTCAAGAATGGACTTAAGTTAATTGTGCATCCTTAGGAGCCTTCCACAGGAGAAAAAGTTTTTGCTGTGAGGTGTCCAAGCACGATGAGTCAGAGACTTAGAGTTCCACAAGTCTGCAAAATATTAATATTCTTAATAGCCTGAGTACTTAGTGTCTGCAATAGAGACTTGTCCTCTTAAGGATATGGCAATAATTTTTAGCACTTAGGACTAAACTAATTATGTGTTTCTTTTCTGATTAAAAGATCTGATAATCTGATTCTGTCACGTAGGAAAGGCTCACCTAGTTGGACAAGTATGTTATAATATTTAGAAATGTGGTAGAGGAAAAGGGAGGAGGTGGATGATAAAGTCCATTTTCAGCTTAATTTCAAAAGCATTTTTGTGCAGAAAATGATTGGGATGTCAAATGGAAGTCAATAAGTTATTGTCATGAGTGGAATTATTGAGAAAACACTGGGTTTTTTGCCTTGGCCATTAACATATTCATCTATGTCAGTAGTAGCTGAGGTTCCTGCCCTTCCTGTCGGGCACTAAAATCTTTGTTGCCAGGACAGATGGACAACATGGGTACAGGCAGGGGCACACAAAGGCATGCAAAGGAGCTTTGAAGAGCAGGGGAAAGAGGGAGTCCTGGCAGGGGCTGGCAAGTCCCATGGCTGGTGGTGCCATATGATGGCACTGGGCAGGAGTATGTGAGGCAGGGCTTGGTGTCCCTGGTCCTGCTGTGGGTTCCTCCTGGGCTGGTTGGCAGAATTGGCTGGGCAAGCCTTAGCCCCTTCAGCCAAGGGTGCTTTCAGTGGTAGTGGGAATAGCCATGGGGCACAGCCTTCTGGAGAGGCCAGAATTGTTGTAATTCTCTGTCAAAACTTCATGTGGGATACAGGTGTAACGTGGGATGAGGATTGTACATGAAAATGTGCCCATCCATTTCTGTAAAAGTTTTGTTCAGTAAGCAAAACCACTTTTTTTATAAATGGTTGTCATAACCCTTTTTTTTGAGGAATGGTAAATGATCAGGTTTTTTTTTTAATTGATGTTATACCTGTACTTCATGCTGCTTCATTCTTTGGCAGTAATGCTTAGAGAGAGACAGAAAAATAGATGTGAACAATAAGAGAGAAAGCGATTCAAGGATTTGTGTCTAAGCTTATGTTAGCTCTAGCAACTGTTGATGTTCTTGTTAGTTGTAATAGACAGTTCTTCAGTTAAAGAGAGCTATTAAATTGTGGCATGTCTTCCAACTCTAGAAGTACAGGGTATTCCCTCTGATAAATTAATGTCCGTAGTTGTAAATAGCTCAGCAAATGGAATTTCCACTTTCTCTCTTAGAGAATACTTAGCTTGAGCAGTCTCCTGGTGTTCAGTTTAAAATTTTTTTTCCTGTTTTGTTCCCACTAAGCCTATGTCTACTGCGTGTGTCACCTTAAACCACCTTTTGCTCTTCTTTACATCCTTCAAACATTTGCTATGTCA